GTCGCTTTCCGGCTCAAACCCCCTTTAAACGGGAGTATTTTGCTACCAGGTCCCCAAGGGGTGTTTTCCTGATTCTCCGGTTCTAGACGCACTTTTCTGACATCTGATCGCTCCTGCAGTGTCAAGCTGCTTCTGGGTGCCTCAACTCCCTCCCCGCTTGAAAGCTGCCTGAGGCTTCCGCTTTTCGCCCACTATTTTTTTAATGCGTTGGCAGTGTGCGCATAGGTGGAGCTCCGCCACCGCGTTTAGAAAACCGACATTTAAACGGTCACTTGTTTTAGCGTTTGGATGAGTTCGGGATCTCACGGAGGCCATTTTCGGGTCAAACATTTAAACTGAAGTCTTTTGTTGGAGGGGTTGGATTGATTCGCCCTGGTGGTTCTGCGCATGTGCCATGATAGTTCCTCCCCCTTCTACGGAGGGGCGCCTATGCGCAAACTGAGGGGGAAAATTTTAAAACCCCGCCAACGCATACTCCTGCACGTTGGTAGTGTAGATGCCGGGGGGCGACGTGACTGCGCTGTGAGGCGGGATAAGGGAGGTAAGTGTGATTGCGATTATCCAGATCAAATATAATCCAGTTAGAACTGGAGCAGTTTAACCCACTCTCAGCACACCGTCTGACCGCACCCTCTGTGTGTGCAGGCGTCTCGAAGGGTGGCTTTAGCTAGCATTCCTCCAGGATTTCCACAGCAGCTGCTTCCCGGCACTCAACTAGGCTCCTCGCCTTGGGGGAGCCAGCTGTGGTACAGGCTACCCCTTTGGATGCAGGGCTGTGTGTGTTTCTCGTTCTCCCCCCCCCATCCTCCCCTCAAGTCACGGCTTTCTTTATTGCTTCCTTCCAGTGCTGGACTGCAGCCCAATCTTATCGTCCTTCCAAGTTATCTTGCTAGAGCATATCATCATGTGCCGGCTTGTCACGGGGCACAAAGCTACGGCGTTGCAAGAGGTAAAGGTTGTTTCTTGAATGGGGGTAGGGCGGGGAGTGGGTGACCTGAGCTGAAATTCTGGTGTGGCCCCAGCTAGGTTTATTTCATTTTGAAGAGCCCCCCTGGATCATTCCGAGGTGGGTCCAGCTATTCCGGCATCCTTCCTCCCACCGTGGACAGCTGGATGCTCCCACAAAGCCCAGAAGCAGGGGCACGGAGGCGTAAGCCTCTGACTGTTGTTGCCTCCAGGCAAATTGCATTTGGAGGTAGACTGCCCCGGAATGTGGAGGCTCCGTTCTGTTGTCCTGGCTGGTAGCTGTGTAACAGATTTCTCCTGTGAATTTTGTCTCAGTCCCTTTTTGAAAGCCCTCGAAGCAGTAGCCATTCTTTGGCAGCGAGTCCCACAAGTTACTCAGGAGTTTATCTGCAGCATTCTTAGCTAGAAATTGAGGCACCTTTTAGCCACTGGCCCATACAATCATTATAACTAATGAATACCATTTAAAGTCACAGCAGAATCCCTTAGAGTGGCTTACAGTAAAAATTGTGAGGCTGCCAGAATGGAAAGGATACGAGGGAGATCCCACCTTTGGTGACATAAGCTCAGAGACCTTTAGTGGAAAGCGAGGTTTCTGATAGAGCGGCTGGGCGGGGAAAGCCTCTGATGAGGTCTGGCAGCAGGGAAGTCTTCCTCCTTGCCTCTGAGTCAGGGCCAATGTTCCCTCTAAGCTGTGGAGTCTTGTGAGCAAAAATTCTCCTTTGTGAGCTACTGGCATGAACGTTGTGAGCAAGAGATTTGGCTGCTGCATCAATGAGTGTGCTCTGGAGCCATCCTTCCTGAGCAAAGACAAAAATGTGTGAGCCGGAGCTGTGAGCTAGCTCACACTAACTCAGCTTAGAGGGAACATTAGGGCCCCAAACAGGGTCTTCGACTAGCCTTCGAAGCTTTCAGCCTGCACTTTGGATAGTGCTGGGAAGCAAACGTCCGGCTGGTAGACCATGTTCTCGATGACTAGCGCTGAGAGAATTGTATTTGCTCAGGATGGGGTAGTATCTGGAAGCCCGGCATAGGTCAGGGGCCCCAGCTAGCCTTAAACGGATTCCTCCTGGGTCATGATAAGGGTTGAGATTGAAGAAGAAGAACAAGAGATTGGATTTATACCCCCCCGCCCTTCACGACCCAAAGGAGTCTCAGAGCGGCTTACAAATTCTTTTCCCTTCCCCTCCCCACCACAGACACCCTGTGAGGGAGGAGGGGCTGAGAGAGCTCTCTTGAGAACTGTCCTTGAGAGAACAACTCTGAAACAACTTGTGAATGACCCAAGGTCAGCTGCATGTGGAGGAGTGGGGAATCAAACCCGGTTCTCCCAGATTAGAGTCCGCGCACTTAACCACTACACCAAACTGGCTCTCCATACCCAGGTTGAGCTCTCCCTACCCAGGTCTTCAGCAGTGTTCCCCCTAAGCTAAGTCAGTGTGAGCCAGCTCACAGCTTTTTTAGCCTCCAGCTCACAGATTCTTGTCTTAGCTCAGGAAGGACGGCTCCAGAGCAAACTAATTTCTGCTGCCACCAAATCATTTGCTCACAACTTTGATGCCAGTCGCTCACGAAGTAGAATTTTTGCTCACACGACTCCACAGCTTAGAGGGAGCATTGGTCTTCAGATGGTCTTTTACTCAGCTTGTGCAGAAGAGGAGCCACGTATGACTGGGGGGGGCAAGGTTGTGTTGATGTGGGCGAGTGTCCCCCGGTGCTGAATAAAACACTCTGTTCTTTTCCCGTCTGTTTCCTGAAAGATCTCTCAGGTTTGCCAGCTCTGCCAACAGTCTCCCAGGCTCTTTTCTAATCATGCGGCTCAGCTGCATACTCTTCTGGTGAGTATAAACACACACCCCCCCAATGCATGACTTCTCTCACCTTCATGTAGTGGTGGTTTAGTAAGGTTTGTGCATCAGTCTTAATTTTTTCAGAGGAGGAAAGTGAGCGACATCTTCCCCTGTCAAGTTGGGAGCATCACTACGAACGTGTGTGTGTGTGTTTTAAATTAATGGGCACTTGACATTTTGTGGCATTCCAGCATGAGGAAAACCCCACCTGTGCAATTCATAATCTGCTGTAATCCAGTTTCCGTCGGTTGCGCATGCTGTTTAAGCGGCCCGGGAGTCCTGGAATGGCGCAGAGCCTTGCGGCTCAGAAAAGGGTGAAGGGCTTTCTCTGGGTGAGATTTGAGAAGATGAAGTTTTGTGAGGGGGTGGGTGGGAAGCCAATGCCTGCGTATCTTTTTGCACCCTAGTTCAGTGATGGCGAACCTTTTAGAGACCGAGTGCCCAAGCTGCGACCCAAAACCCACTTATTGATCGCAAAGTGCCAACACGGCAATTTAACCTGAATACTGAGGTTTTACTTTAGAAAGAACAACTCATACATTAACTTAAGATGATCCAAACAAAGGAAGGAAAGCAATCCCAAATGCTTTCATTTACTTAAAATTATTTGGCAGAGAATTCGACACTTTAATGATGGTCTGGGCCTGGCTGGGGCGATGGCATGCGTGCCCACAGAGAGGGCTCTGAGTGCCACCTCTGGCACCCGTGCCATAGGTTTGCCAGCACTGCCCTAGTTGAACGACTGAGCCCCCGTGAACGAAGGCAGTTTATTTATTTGCAGCTCATGGCAGGCGGGGAAGCATGGCTCAGTGGAGGAGCCTCTGCTTCGCACGCCGAAGTTCCCTTGCGCTCCGCTGATCAGCATCTCCTGGTTATTCCTGGCCCAAAGGATGTCCACTTAGCCTCAGCTAGGGCTAGGGCCTCCTCTGTCCTGGCCCCTACCTGGTGGAACATGCTCCCACTTGGCAGGGGTCATTGCGTAGAAAAAGAGGTGCAGGAGCTCATTAGCATAACTCATTAGTATAACTGATTTGCATATGCCACACACCCCTGACATCACCAGAAGTGTGTCAGAAGGCAACACCCACCGCTCAGGTGCCACTGGACTGTTCTGGATTGCTAGCTATTGGGGGGGGGGAACGTGCAGATCTGCCCTCACAGAGGAGGGGAGAGCTTGTACCTGAAGGCGGGCCGGGGGGGGCACTCTGCAACTTACCTGGCTGCTTCTTGCTCCTCCTGGCCCGACTGAGGGCTGCTAGGAGCAGGGGGCGGGGCTTGTTGCATGTTTCCGTCCCCTGGGCTCCTTACTGCCGGAGCTCCTCTCCTGTGCGCTCCCGCAGGAAATGGCCCCTGCCACTTGGGATCAGGGCCTTGCGGAACTTCCTACAGTTCTGCAGGGCCTGTAAAATGAGGTGTTCTGCCAGGCTTTTAGTTGAGGCAGTGGACACCCAACCAGTTGGCATCCCCAAGTACAAGTGCCCTTGGCCCACCTGCCCCATGTGGAGTCCTGATATTATATGAGCTTGCTGTGACTCCAGTAACCATCAGTCTGGCTTATAGGGGAGGTGGGGGTTGAACTGCTGTGTTTATTTCGCCATCTTTTAGTTGTTTCATGCTTTTAGCTGTTTTTAGAATTAATTATGGAGGGATGCGGTGTCTCAAGTGGTTAAGACGCTGAACTGCAGGCCGGAAGGTGGGTAGTTCAGCAGTTTGAGACCCGAGTGCAGCATGACAGAGTGAGCTCCTGGCACCTGCCAACCTAGCAGCTCAAAAGCAAGAAATTGCAAGTAAATAAATAGGTACCACTTCGATGGGAAGGTAACAGCCTTCCATGCGCCTCAGTGTCTAGTCATGCCGGCCACATGACCACGGAAATGTCTTTGGACAGCGCTGGCTCTTCGGCTTGGAAACTGAGATGAGCACCTCATCCCTAGAGTCGGATTCGACTGGCTTTCGAGCAAGGGAAATCTTTACCTTTACTAGAATGAATTATATTAATTTGGCTTTGGTTGTTCATGCACCCTGATGTCACCCACCCTGAGCCCGTTTGGGAAGGGCGGGGCATACTTTAACTAATAATAAATAAATAGAGCTGTCCTCAGCATCTCCACTTAAAAGGAGAAGGCAGTAGGTGATGGGGAAGACATCCATCTGAAACCCTGGACAAGCCACTTCCAGTCTGAGTAGACAAGACTGACTGACAATCTGATTCAGAATAAGGCTGCTTGATGTGTGTTCAGACGTCTCCATGTGCAAGTTGGGCACAAGACCTCTTTATATGTATTTATGCAGTTTTTTTAGTCACTCACCCAGAGGGTCTTGTGGCGACGTTCAGTACTTAAACCACCTTATCAGTGTTCTCTCTAAGCTGAGTGAGTGTGAGCTAGCACACAGTTTTTTAGCCTCCAGCTCACGTTTCTGTCTTTGCCCAGGAAGGATGCCTCAGAGCAAACAAATTTATGCAGTAGCCAAATCGCTCGCCCACAACTTTAATGTCAGCAGCTCACAAGGTAGAATTTCTGCTCACCAGACTCGACAGCTCAGAGGGAGCATTGCTTATAATAAATAAGTTAAAAACCAACTAAAAACTGTATAAAATATAAAGATACATGACTCATCACCATACTGCTATCGAACCAGCCCAGAACATCTGGTTTAATCGCCAAAGATCCACCTGAACAGTTTCATCTTGCAAGGCCTGTGGAAGCTAAGCAAGTCCTGCAGGGCATGGGTGTCATCCGAGAGGGCGCTCAACGAGGTAGGGGTCATAACTAAGAAAGCCCTTCCCTTGGTAAGAGAGCCAGCAGATACCAAGAAAATACAAGATTGATTCTGAGTAGGAGACGTAGAGCATGGGCTCCAAGTATAAAGCGACCTGACGAAGCATTGAGGGAAACAGATTGTTGACCTGGGAAATCTGTAGTTGCATGACAGTTGTTGGAAGCAGCAGCAGGACTGCATGACGTAAAATAAAGAAACAAAAAGAAGGAGCAGCAAATTTGTGGAAGAAGAAGAAGAAGAGATTGGATTTATACCCCGCCCTTCACTACCCAAAGGTGTCTCAGAGCGGCTTACAAACTCCTTTCCCTTCCCCTCCCCACAACACACCCTGTAAGGTAGGAGAAGAAGAAGAAGAGGAAGAGGAGGAGGAGGAGGAGGAGATTGGATTTATACCCCCCCTTCACTACCCAAAGGACTCTCAGAGCGGCTTACAAACTCCTTTCCCTTTCTCCTCCCCCCCACAACAGACACCCTGTAAGGTAGGAGAAGAGGAAGAGGAGGAGGAGGAGATTAAATTTATACCCCGCCCTTCACTACCCAAAGGTGTCTCAGAGCGGCTTACAAACTCCTTTCCCTTCCCCTCCCCACAACAGACACCCTGTGAGCAGTGTTCCCTCTAAGCTGAGTTAGTGTGAGCTAGCTCACAGTTTTTTAGCCTCTGGCTCACACATTTTTGTCTTAGCTCAGGAAGGATGGCTCCAGAGCAAACTAATTCATGCGGTAGCCAAACTGCTTGCACACAACTTTAATGCCAGTAGCTCACAAAGTAGAATTTTTGCTCACAAGACCCCACAGCTTAGAGGGAACGAGGTAGGTGGGGCTGAGAGAACTCTTGACAGAAACTGCTCTTTTTTCAAGAACAGCTCTTATCAGAACTACGGCTTTCCCAAAGTCATCCAGCCAGGTGCAAGTGGAGGAGTGGGGAATCAAACCCGGTTCTCCCA